TGACGTCAATTCTGAAATCGAAGAATCGGGCTCTGTTAAGTTGTAGTGTCAGACTTTAGCTATGATTTAAAACAAACCCGAGCTTTCTAGCTTTCAAAATAGCGGAGAAATCTGGGATGCACGAAAACGTAAAAGTAAAAAATCTCATTTTGAGATAAATGCAAAATAACGAAAAAATGTCGTCTTTTCCGGTAGAGGTTTTCAGAAAAACTTGTGTGAAACCCTTAAAATCTATCGTAAAATTAAGAAACTATGGTGCATTCGATAGCGGATGTGACGCTCTATCAAATACGCTATTTTAAAAAAAATCGATAAATTTCACCAAAATAACCTTTTTTTTGAGTGGGGGGTGGGCCTTGAAACAACTGAACAAGAATAAGCATGAGCTGTACTAATCCATCTTTCACTTCATATTTATTCGTACGTTGGTGATGAAAACGATTTTCTTGAAACAATATGGAAGGAGCGCCTCTTTTAGTTTCTTTTCGAACAAAATCCATTTCTTTTTTAAATATGTCTTGTCACTGTTTCACACTTATACGGTAAGAAATCACTGTTATCAACTTCATCTATTACTTCCTCTACAAAATTGATCTTTGAAGAGACATCCTGTGGAGAAACCCAGTATTGCTTCAAGTGCTCTGTGAACTACTAAAAACAATTTCATCTGCTCATATGTGCATTTGGCCACTCGCTCAAGAAAAACAAAATTTATCTACCTTTAATATTTTTCGCATCTATTTTCAATGACAACTTTATTATTTGCAAGATTAATTCAAGAGTTATATAAATGTAATTTACTATTTTGAGAATGTATCTCATACGTAATAATTAATACGGTAGTACAGAGAAAAACCAAACGAAATATTTCATAGATCACTAATGGAATATTATATCGAGAAAGTTAAATATTTAAAATAATTGAAATCTTGAGGAATCATCATTTTATCTTTAAAATTTAAATTAACTTCTTCTGCAAGTACAAAACCAATCTGAATGTTATTATCCTAAAATGGCGGACAAAAGTTTAAGACCAGTTTTATTTTCAGATTTTCTTGTGAACGAAAGTAGGTAGAAGATATCCGACAACAGATTTGTAGGAAGAGGACTTTCGAATTACTAGACACATAATAAAGTTTTTTAATCGAATCAAAGGAAATGAATTTCGAAAAAATTCAAATTTTTTTCATAAAAATGAGACGTTTCATGGATTTCTGCCACTTTTCTTGACCAAGTTATGAAGTTTCCTCGGAAAGAACCGAACAGGAAAAACCCAGCAAATTTGCCAGCAAAAGAAAGCGTTTTAGTACAAAAAAACGATCTTAGGGCTTTCCCTGAAAATTCCATAACTCGATCAAGAAAAGTTGCAGAAATCTGCGAAACGTCTCATTTTAATGAGAAAAGTTTGCTTTATATTGTTCAATGGCCAAAAATGGCTTTTAACTAATTCTAAAACATTTGAAAATGTTTTGGCTATTTAAATATTGAAAAAGTTCCTTTCTTTTAATTCGGTTAAATTTAGATTAAAAATTTTTATCATGCGTATAGTTACTCTAAAGTGCTCTTTATACAAATCTGTCGTCAGATATCTATCTACCAACTTTCGTTCACAAGAAAATCTAGAAACAAAAATCGCCACTTTATGTATTACTAAACTATGCCACTAATTCTTTCTTCAATTTATATTCAGTTTTAAAGCATGTTAAGTTAAAGTATTTTTTTTTGTTCGAATATACTGAACATTGAACTTCATTTGACACCTCGAATTTGAAATATTTTGGAATAAATGAAAGCTACCCTATTCGTAATAGCACAATGACGAGAAAAAAAATATCAGAATAACATGTAGAATAAGAAACACAGAGATTAAAAAAGATGAGAGATACTTTTCTCTAATTGGATATTTATCCAAAAGAATTGAACAGAAAGAGAGAAGTGTTTATCGGTGACTTCATTATTGTGTTCGTACGTGACTTTGAATCCATTCGGATAAAGATTCCGGATTGCGAGTCTATATAAAAAAAGTTAAAAATATTCTTCTTTAAACGAACAGTTTCACTTTTACTTTTACATACCTGAATGTATACAATTCCCGGGCCAGTGAATCGACATACCAGTCCTTCCCCAGCATGTATACCACTCATAATGCCACCACCTGCTCTCTCAATTGTATACGAGCAAGTCCATGCCACCAAATGGCCATTGTCAACAATCCATTGCTCTCCTGGACGCAGTTGTTTTTGAATGATAGCGCCGAGAGAGGTGACAAACAAAATACCCACACCCGATATACGATGGACAAAGAGACCTTCGCCAGAAAACATAGCCTTGCCAAAACCTTGCGATTTAGTATCTTTAATAACGCCATCAGTCATCGCCAAAAAGCCACCCTTGCCCACTGACCATTGAGTAGAACCATCGAGATGAATGGGAACAATATCGCCCCTGAAATATATAAATAAAAAGTGATAAATATAAATTGGATATGAAATAGACTTACCAGATGGGTGGTGCGAGAAGAATCTCGCCTGGGCCAGTAAATGTTGACTGAGCCATTTCACTACCAGTCAACATTTTTTTGAATGAAAATTTGAGTTTACCCTTCAATTGCACTTCAGGACTCATAGCCACCATGGCGCCTGGTTGTGCAAAGAAGGGCGCATTTGGTAGCAATGTGACTGACAACAAAGTATTCGTATCACGATGATCGACCTTGTAAAAGCCGCCATTAAACTGACCCGTCATATCAGCCAGACTGCCAAGTGGTTGTAGCTGTGGCGGTTGGTGGAATGCTTGCGCCATATGTTTGTTCGATCAATGAATGAATGTGAAGAGAGAAAGGTTTATATAAAACTATAAATTAACGTGTTACTAGTGAATAGAACAATGTGCGCTACAAATACTCGCAATACATAAAGAACAGAAAAAAAACAAATTATCAATTCTGATCTGAATGATACACACTGGTCGAGTTTCTTCTTCTATTTCTTGCAAGATTCTTGTCGCTTGTTATTTTAGCCAAGAATCTTGTCATAAATTTCCTTCAAAAATCTTGTCTTGTAATTCTTAAAAAAACTTTGCAAACAAAAAAAAATGCATATATAATCAATCTATTTTGCGTTTCCTTTTCTTTTCATATATGTGAGAGATAGTCGCTCTGACGCCAATACAGACACATTAGCCTCAATTGTCTCTCGACGAGAATCTTGTGATTTAAAAGAATTTTTACAAACATTTATATTGAGTTATAGTGCAAAACTTATAAAGATTCTTGTCTGAAATGGTAAGAGATAAGAACCTTGCAAGAAATAGAACAAGAAAGTTAACCAGTGATAGACCACGACAGCGAGATCACAAGAAAAATAACAAAAAGAACGAAAGAAAGAAAGGCAATTTACAATATATGTGTAGTAAAAGTAGAAAGAAATAAGAACGGAAAAAATAGACCATTTGTTCTCATACTATCATGTAGTGTCATGTTTTTTTGTTTCTCATTGACTACCGCCCAACTTTTCGTCGATATGCATTCATGAATCTGGTCGCAGTACATAAGGATCTGAAGAGAAGAAGAAGAATGTGTGTCTCTATATATTTAATAAATTATGTGGCAATTTATAATATTTTTCTCTAGAAAACGAAGAGAAAAAACAAACGGAGAAGTCAATTTTTAGACCAGTTACTTAGTTCTTCTATCATTTTAATGTGTGTTGTAAAGCACAAACCATTCTCTATTGTGTTGGATGCTGTGAAAAGATACCGCTACTGTGAATCTGATTTTTTTGTTGAGATAATAGAGAATTTTGTTTCACCACGCCACTGTAGAGTCCGAAATGAATTTTCAAAAAATTTAAATTTATCAAAAATCGAAAAAATTTAGGACGTTTATAAACCGGGTCGAGATCTATAAACCAGGTCGAGATTTATAAACTTGTATGATATTGATAAAAATAGATTCGAGTTTCAGTAATAAAAATGCTGAGATCCAGGTTTTCTGCCTGGTACTACTTTATCAAATGCATCAATCGACCATGCACTTATGACTTATCAACGC